ATACATACGCTGAGTTTATAGCCCACAATAAGAATTCGAGGCTGTGGACCTGAAATAAGCGTTTCTTCACTGCGGGCGCCAACTCTATATTTCGCGCTCCAAGCTCCAAAAGAAGTGTAGACTAGGTAGACTAAAATGAGGCAGGTTCGACCGCCGGTTCCTCGGTGTTCTTTCATGTCTACAGTCACTCACGCCGATTTGGTGTCGTCGTCTCACAAGTTATCATGCATGGACCACACAGCAGCACCAATCATCGCTACTTTCTTGCGTATCGAAGTAGAAGTTTGCGGTCGCCACTACTGCTGTACAGCGGCTTGGATGTCCTCCGAACCTACTTACAGCATATATATATAATCAACATGTTCTACACCTACCTACACCTAGAGGGAGGGAAACGGCAGGGAAACGAAGAGTAGTAGGGAAACAAACTCACTCACCCAACCCGTGGGAAGGACGACAGTAGTGGTACAGTTGTCGCCCGCTGGGATGGCTGGTAAACTGGGCGGGATCACACAGCTCTCCCTCTCCAATAATAAAGTCAAGCTGTTCGTCTGCAAAAACACCTCGGGTAAGCTTGAATGAATGCGCTCGTACAAGAGCTTTGTGGCGGGTGGAGTGCGTCGGTCGTGTGTGGTGGTGCGTAAGCACGAGGCTAAACAAGTAATTGCGGTTCCTTCCCCCAATAATGCACACCAATAATTGTTTTCTGACGCAATCAACCATACCGTAAACTACACAAGATAACACACCCACATAAGAAACCATACCCCCACAGAATACGACACCCCGGTGGTAATTTTCGGCATTTCTGACAAACCATCGATTTATCACCCGGGCTACATAAGATAACACACCCCGTGGTTACGCCGCATACATTCACGGGGCCCCTCCTTCTATCACCGGGGTGATACATCATCTGCCCCGTGGGCATCGCACACTGCTGTCACGCACACACACAACACTTTCGTGCGGGGAATCACCCCGCATGGAGACCTCCAACAACATTAATGTGCAGGGAGCGCAGAATGCTGCCGCATGTACCTCCCATCATATCGGACAAGGTACCTTCGATTTAATTTTTTTCATTTTTCATGCTCCATCAAGCCGTGATGGTTGCTGACGTTATTTTGTTTGAAACTTTCTTCGGTGTTGAGGGGGTTGAGTCATCACCGAGATCACGTGCTCAGGGGTTTCGTCACCTCCGTTGAGCCCCTTTGTTTTACCACATCCCCGCAGAACCACACTTCAAGTGTGCGGCACCCCTTCAAGTGTGCGGCAGCAGCGGTTCGACTCTACAAGCAGTGTTATCACCCCCCCTTTTTATCACCCCCCCAAACACACACACACCCTGTGGGTGTTCGGAGTTAGTTGCTATCACACCCCCTTTTTATCACACCCCTCATCGCCCTTTCCCCTCGGTGTTTGCCATCGGGGTTGGGTTTTCGTCGCTTGGCAACGACGTTGTAAAACAAGCCGCCCCCCCCGGTGTTTGCCATCGGGGTTTGGGTTTTCGTCGCTTGGCAGCGACGTTGTAAAACAAGCCCCCCCCCCGGTGTTGTGCCATCGGGATTGGGTTTTCGTCGCTTGGCAACGACGTTGTAAAACAAGCCAATTCACTTCGTGAACTCGGCAACCAGGTTACCGTCTTTTTTTTTTACCTCTGTTTTTTTTTTAGCGGTAACCATAATGGTGGTCGAGTAGATCATGCTGTGCGGGGTGGAGAACACTCACTCCGCGCAACGGGGGATGATCGCACCACGTTGTGTTAAAATTGTCAAGCATCCTCGAGGCAGTTACACAGTGCTTACAACTGTCTCTGGAAGTGAAAGCACCAGAAAATAAATTAAGTCATACGCAGCTGTCATCCGTACGCAAGGAAGTAAGCACAAGATGCCGAACACCCTTAGCAGGATGCAGCTCACCCTTCATGCGACTCGCCAAATACCTCACGGCGCTTCGCGCTTGGTGATGTGAGAGCCTGGTCCGGTGAGAACCCGGCGTGCTCCGTCCCGGCTTTGTAGGGATGCGAGGACAATGGTCTCACGACTACGGCATGCACGACTATGAGTACACCCCCCTCCCCGCAGTGGAAAGTGGTCAAGATATGGCCATTTTTGGCCTGACTACTTTTTTGTTAGTCGCTAGCACATAAGGGTATTGCGCAAGAAAAAAAAAAAATGTGTTTCGACCCGAAAAACGCTCAAGATTTTAAAAATATTATCGCCGAAGACATCCGACACCATAAAGGGCTCGTACAAATATAACTCCCCAGACTTATGGGACAGAGGAAGTACGCATACCTTAATGGCATCGTTCAGGCTGAGTCTGTCCACATCCATCGCCGCGGGCACCACCGACCGGATCAAGTCTTTCGGTGACCCTTCCAAGATGAAATCCATCTGTTTCAAGCAGGCCATCAGTTTAGCCACGTTTATTCGGCCGTCGCTTTTCACATCTGGAGGCGGCAGTGCGGGGTGGGGAGTTCGTTAGGCCAAGTTCGGGCGAGATCGAGCTCAAAAGAGGACACGAAAAGAGTCAGTAGACAGCAGTAGAGCAACAGCAATTGGGCGGCCCCGTGAAGTGATTTGTCCAGCAGAACCCAGTTGTTGACCTGAGAAAGGGATGGGTATGCCAGGTGCCATAAAACATACCGCCGTGCCAATGCGAAAATGAAGTAAAATCACGCCGCTCTTGCTTGTTTTGCCCACACCCCCGCTTCGCGCTTGGTGATGTGAGAGCCTGGTCCACTGAGAACCCGGCGTGCTCCGCCCCGGCTTTGTAGGGATGCGAGGCCCACGGTGGTCCAACCACTACGGCATGCACGACTATAAGTACCCCCCCTCGGGGTTCCAAACCACCGTTGAACCGGTACCTGCTGTGCCTGACCCGTAGAAATAAGGCGGTGATTTGCCAAACTATCGAACACCTCAAAAGCACACAACACAACTGCCACATGCATACCACAAGGGCAGGTACCGTGTGAATTGTGTTGTTCCATCCAACCCGGCGACCGTATTGTAGCATACAAATGGACCAAATTCCAACTGCTGATGCTTCCTACTTCGGTGGGTGCCAGCGACACTTCCTTCCCGCGTGCATCACCAAGAAAAGAAGGTAACAACGGAAGTAAATAGTAAATGCCGTTCTGTGTAGGTAAGAGTATTGGAGCGGGCTGGTGTGTAAAGCACATGCGAACCGAACTATTTACATACAGCAACAGCAGTAGCGTAGGTGAAGCCTGGCGCATACAAAATTATTTGGACGAAAAATAAAACACAACACCACCCCGACATAAAACTCAAACTAAGCCCAGCCTCCGGTCGGTTTCAATCCACGTACTGAACAGACTTCACCATAACCCTTTCGACTGAGGTTATATCTCGAACGGGTAGTCTTTCTGTGAGGTTATGTTTACTTTCTAAAATACAATACAACAGCCTGCATGTACATGTCTCAGCAGCCCTAAAAACAAGCCACTATAATAGATCCTGCGAGAAGATCATAATCATAATCATACCCGGTACTTCGTACTGCGAAACTTGACGCTTGCCAATCATTCTTACGCTCCATGGGCATGTTTCTCCGTCCATTCCCCCGGAGCACCAACGTTGTATACACGAGATAGAACACACTTTTCGACATCCCCCCGCACACTTTTCGCCAGGCAGCCAAGCCAAGCGCGTCAAAAGGAGAGGATGACATTTGGTTCAAATAGAAGTTGAACAGGTTCGGGGTTGTGTCTTGTACAACCGCTCGCTCAACACGAGAATGAGTGGCCGGTGGCAAAGAAGAGAGCAGACCGAATCCACGACGCGGTCTTTTCGAATCGCTTTGCTGTATGCACGGGTAACAAGTAACAAGTGGAGGAAGGTGTCTTACCTACGCTGTATCGCGGCGGCAGGCTGTGGTCATGTACTCGATTGTGCCGCACACGACAGAGGGTGAGAGCACAGGCGCGGATTTGGTTACATTGTGCATGCACCAAAGATCGTTGTGCTTTGTGAAGCCCGGGGAAGCGTGTGTGTGTGGCATGCAGCATGCATTCCCCTGGGCGATGCACACACCGTTACGGAGCAAGATCTGCGGCTGCAGGGGCCAACGCAGGCATCTACCCGATCAAAGATGTGCAGAGAGCCCACAGGCTGTCATCATCCCTTCCACCAGAAAAAAAAAAAAAACAGGCCAAATTGCGGACGAATGATCACACAGGCCGGACGTGCTGTAGGAGCAATGAGGTACCCTGAGGGTAGGAGAACAACAGCCTCAGCCAAGACCCAAGACTAGAACATACGCATCTCTGTCTTGAAGCACTGGAGCGCGTGTAGCAAACGGCTGCTGTGCTGCTGCTACATCTATCTCGGCGGGACCATGTTCCCCCTTCCGCCGCTTCTGCACTCGAAAAAATACTTGCAAAAAATACCGTGCAGACGTCTTTCTCTCACCCCCGTCTTTGAACTGGCGACGTACGAAGTCGAGCTCATCAGAGTCCAATGTTGCCATGGCCTCGCTGATCCCAAGCGCCTTTACAGCAACCTGACCAGTGACACCCAGGGAAATTTGGCGGATGGTGCGAATAATAAACAAAGGTTGAGGGGGCTCACAGTTGGGATACTAAAAGGGACTGGTGGGGGGGGGGGGAGTGGTTCATTTTCTTCACATTCTTTGGACATGGATATGAAAATGATCTTGTCATCACGAAACTGGTGTCTTCCCGGAATTGGAAAGAAGGGGGTCATTGTTTACACTACACTGGACAGCGAGAGGTCCTTCTCACTCTCGTCGCTTTCGCAACAACTGAAACTCCGGAGTAAATTGTATGTGTATAGGGAAGAGAAGAGTTCCTCCGCAGAGAGCGGGGGGGGCGGGAGAAGGGGGGGACACCCTTCTACTACGATAGTCCTCTCGTTGTCCGTTCTCGATAATTGCACCTTGAGTTTGTGTGCGTTTTAATTAGCGTCGACCGCGCTAACCGACTGACAAATGAAAAGACGTCGTCTGTCAATCTTAATGCGAGAGATTACTTAAGGTTGTTCTATACCGACAAGGGAGCGCGCCCGCAGGACAGGAGTTGGTCGACAGCAGTTGTACGTAGTGTCCTGCTTCTTAAGTACAAGGAGAAGAACCAAATACTATCAGGCAGCATTGTTGCTGCATCATCGTATCCTCCCACGCTGACATCAGCTTGGTTCTCCCATGCTAACTCGGTTGTGTGTGCGGTGCGGAGATTCATTCATTCGTGGAAGGTTGTTGAAAGTCCGCGGTATCTACAGCAGCAGCAGCTAGATTCGACATTTTTGTCACTCGCGCATTGCTACAAATAAAACTGCAGCAGTCCGTACATGACCCAGCGTGTTCCATCTGCAAATAGTTGGTCAAACAATGAATGGCGCCATCCCTACCATCAAGCACCAGCAAGATATCAGTGAGTGGGGGGAGCGAAGGTCCGGCCAGCTTCGCGGGAATCACCAACTCGTAACCAGATGGGCCACCATATGATGGATGGTCTCCGGAGGCTACCTCAAACAAAATGCTCACGAGCACGTAAGAGATCCTTGCTGGGTAACCGGTTTGATTTCTACGGCTCAACACACACCTCTATCCCCACATCGCCCGGGGACGTTGTTTTTCGACCGCCTACTTGACTCACACAACAAGCACTCCGTTTAACTCCCCACTGATTAACCCTCCCTCCCCCCCAACAAAGGATCGAAACAGTATCACCACACCGCCAAGCGAAGCCTGTACACACAGCGGCTGGTTGCGCCATCTTGAGGGAAAAATCGTTTCGTTCCGACGTTCTACTGACATGCCACCAAAATACCAAGTGGTCAAGTCAAACAAAACACACAACGGGACCATGTCAAAAGCAATAGGCACACAATATAGAGGCACACGAAACTCCAGTAGGAGCAGAGGGGTGCAAGAGACGCAAAAAAAACGTAGAAAAAAAAAAGATGATGAGGTGAAAGATACAGTATATACAGCAGCACCTTGGTTGAAAGAAACACAACAGACATTGCTGACTTTCGCCAGGCGAGCATATTCCTTTCCCCTGCCCTTAAGGGTAAAAGGTCCCAAGGATGCCGGCCACTTAGACGAGAACGCGCTTTCTTGAGTAGTTCGAACATAGAAAGAAATCGAGAGTTTAGGCAGTTCGAACATACAAAGAAATCGAGCAAACCCTCTGTGCAACATCCATGTCTCATAAGTACCGCATTGAACACATCCTAGGGGTGAGACTACTAATATAATAGGAACATACGACATCCGAATCGAGACAAACCAGCAGACAACATGGACACAACATATTCCATGAATCCACCTACGCTGGACACCCGAACAAAAAAATCAAGAATCGATTCGACACCCCAAAGCCGTCATTACCATCACCATCATCATCGGCACGATGCGCGCCTCAAAAGCGGTACGCGCATGGAGCAGAAGCGACATATTTTCCCCACCACCACCATTGCACGAAAAGGAACAACAAGTTCTTCTAACACCAGCATCGGAGTGACTAAACTACATCACCCAGAAGACGTACACGAGAAAGCCTCCGTTCGCTACGAACGCCAGGGCGCAAAAAACGATGACCATGACGTTGTTGCTGATCCCGTTTGTCGATGCGTTGTCGTTGTCGACGTTTTCCCCTTGGTCTCTCTGCTTCGGCTGTTGATAGGAAATTCATTCAAGCACGAACGTTGGTATGCGGAGGGGCGAGGAACAGGAGCCACATGGCAGTGGAAGCGTTACCGACTCTGTAAACCTAAGGGTAATACCAGTAGCACGCTATGCTCTCTCCAACACATCAATACGAAAAAAAGGTGACTGAAAATACACACCTCTCCACCCACATAAAAACTTGGAATCTTTAGAGATACCTGATATATTCTAAAGTCGTTGTGGCAGATACTTCTAAACATGTCAGCAGCATAACAGAAAGATGCACGGTATGTAGTGCTGCTTTCGACGGTCATGGAGGCCTATAAGGCCAAAGTAGACGAAGGAGGGGGGCACAAGGGAGACCTCCGCGCGCGCAGATTCGTTGCGGCAACACACCGTTGTGCCAACCGCCGGGGGTGAAAGAGTATATGGCATCAGGCATTTAACCGGCTTAACGGCTCGAGCCCTCCTCACAAAACCAACGTTTGATTGTAACACTTATAACAGCAAATGTCAAGCACCATCACCAGCGACGAAGGCTCTTCCTCGCTCCTCACATACCTCGCTATCCGGCGCCACCACCACGAAGCCCCCCGCCTCGCCCTCCTCGATCCCCTTGTCCTCCTCCTCCTCCTGCTCCTCCTCCTCCTCCTTCTCCGCTCCTTCCCCAACCGCCGCCTCTACGGCACCGCCGCTTTCCGCCTCCAGGACGTCCATCGTCTGTACCTGCGCCGCTCGCGCGACGCCCCCCTCCAAGACGCCTTCCGCCGCTGCTCGCGCGCCTTCGTCGCCTCCATGCATACCAGGGATTGTTCTTCTCGCTACCACGCTCGTCGTCGTCGTTGCTGCTGCTCTTGCCTGTTCTTCCCATGCCTCTTGTTCTCCCGCTGCGTCTAGTTGCTGATGCTGCTCGTTCGCGCCTGAGTTTGGGGGTGTTGCCGTGCTTTCAGACAGCAGTCGTCGCCGAAACCTTGCCCCATCTCTGCCTCCGGCAACGTCTGCTACCTCTCCGGGGTAGATCGCGTGGTCGCCGGCTTTGTTAGAGTGCGTAGTAGTAGAGTAGCATCCAAAAGACGAGAGGGCCGAAAATGAGTCGAGGTTCATTCAGGAAAAATTGGTGAATAACGGGCGCACGGGCGGCATGTGGACCTCCATCCATACAGAGCAGTGCTTGTAGATGGCTGGTGTTCTAGCGCCTCGCTCAATGCAAAACATTATTCGTCTCGTGAACCACCCGTCAAATCTCTTGATCTCTTCATGCCTCAAACTGCATCCCTCCTAAATAGTAAAACCGCAACAGCTCTCAAGCGTGAAAACCAACCAGTAACCCGAATAGTCAAGCCACAGTTTCGCCGCTTCAACATCGATGTAAATCGCACATTTTCTCCGTGCCGAGGCGCAGGCCTGGCTTCACTGTCAAATGCGTGGGTGGATCTCCAATCTTGGAATACGATTTCACATGCACCAGCTTTTACCCTGCAACGTCTCCAGCAACCTACAAAGACCGTATTCACGGTACACGAACCTCACATCAGTCGGTGGTGTTTGGTAGGGGCAGGATTAGGGAAGGGTAGAAACGTAAAACGGGATTGATGCCAAACAAGCGTTGAAAAGGCTGCGTCGTCAACCATTCTTCACACGACCAAAGTCGCCAGCGCCGCACAGGCTTGCACGGATCATCTCAGGAATCTCCCAGCAAGCATCGTCAACCACTTGCTTGCCAAACGAAGAGGGAAGCACACGTCTCACAAGGGAAGTACCTCGCATTCCGCAACAACACTGCCCTCCGGCATCCATGATGATAGAAGTACTTCTTCGTACCATGATAAATTGAGTACCTACCTTGCGAGTTGCCCTGATTGCCCTGCTGCTGTTGCTGCTGCTGAGGTCTTTGTCGTCGCGAGGTTTCTTCTACTGCTGCGGGCTGCTCGGCAAAATGTTGTTGCGGGAGAGGGTCGGAAGGTCTTAGAATCGAACTTCTAAACAGGAACGTGCTTACCGAATAAGGTGTAACGGTCATGATGACATCGGTCTTTTATGGCGACAGGAATCCTGTGAATCAACCAATAGGGGGATAGGAGGCGCTTCGTGTTCCTGGGGAGAACAAAACGTATGCACAAGAGAACGACGGGTCCATAATCTACCAACGAGAGAGGTACAGATGCCAAGTTTGCGTGCCTCCGTTCGTACGCAACTGCTGCAAAACGATGTGTGGTGCAAGTCAAACTGTGTTGTGGTCAAAACTATTGTTGTAATTGCTGTTTTTTGGAGTCGTTCGACCGCTGCTCGCTCCGCTGCTACAATGTCTACGCAGCAGCAGTCCGTGGAGTTGTGTGCATGGCTACCCTCCTGCACCGACCATGAATACTGCCGTACGCTGGAACAAGTACATAGATTTCTGTCTATACCCGAAATAGGGTGTGCGTGCACGAGACAGGGGGAAAATCAACCAACGTGCGACGGGACCAAAACAAGAGGGTTGTAGGGTTCGCTGCCTAGACGAACTCTCTTCTTTGTTCAATCTCGAACCGTCATCATCGGGCAGCGGCGCCGGCTTCTCAGCAAAACGTGAAACAAACACTGCTGCTGTCCACAACGTACGACACCATCGGTGCGAAAGAGGCACCTTTTCGTCGTGGTGCAGAGGCAAGACAAAGAATGAGTGTTGTCTTTCGGCCTGCCATAACAACTACGGCTGCTGTTTCTCCTATACCCATGGCCGGGGGAGAGTACGACAGAGTGGTAGACATGAAGAAGATGTCCCGCTCTCGCATCTCCGGTGAAACGCAGGCATCGGACATGGTACATAATACTTGCGACGCCCCGACCTCCGTACCTGCAGACAACTGGCGCAGCAAAGTAATGCCAGTAGCACCACCACCACGGCAGTATTATGGGCCCTGACATAAGCCCCGACCACCATTGTTGACGTAACAGGTCGGACGCTTGTCTTTTCTCGGCAATGATCTCTGCTGTGTGTCCGCTCTCTCCGTCTCTCCCAGCAGGACCTGAAACCTTCAAACAGCCAGCTGGCTCGAAGCACGACTTTGTGCCAGGACAGAGGAGCCGATTCTGTACCTACCCTTCTCTCCCTCTGCAGCCGAGCGATGCGAGAACGGCGTCAGTGTGATGCGGTAGCTTTGTCCCACCATGCTCCTCCGCTGCCGCTGCCGCCTATGCACCCCGCCTCCCCCCGCTCGGCGCCTTTTCAAGGAGAGGAGGGTGGGCGCATACTCTAGTCTGTGACCCCCCTTGGAGAACATACGGGAGCGTACCAGTACTCTTGTCTGTGTTTTGCTGTTTGTCTGAGGTCTGATTGAGATGGATTCTACTGCACACAGCAGTATGCTACACACATCAACCCACGCACGGCCCGCAAGCTTAGCTTGAGATGACGTTGGGATGTTTTTACATGTATCGTAGAAAGAAATTAACTCAAGGGCACGTGTAAACTTGGCGCCGAGAATAATAAATGGGACGAGACAAACGAACATACATCACATTTTACTTCACGCACGTCATCAAAGCTGGCTACAGGCTACCCACAAGAGTGTTCAACGACAATAAGACCGTTGACTACCATGTTTGTTTATATTTGTTCAACTTGCTCACTATGTACAGGACTGAACTTGGTTGTTATTAGTCGACGAGGGGATGAGGGAGGGGTAAACCTTCACAAACCACACGTGAGTGATGAAAGCGGAAAGACCCCCCTTCCCTGCAGAACCATACGAAGAAGAAATCGTAGGTGCTCACAGTTCCGAATCCAATATTGAAAAAAAAAACTGTTTTCGTTCTGCATCAACACACCAACTACCACCGTCTTTCTGCTGAGAACGAACCCCTTCTTCGCGTAATATGACAAGCAACAAGACCAAATGTCTCCACAACCAGGTAGAGTTGGTAAGCCGAGTGCTGCACGTATTGTCCCGAGGATAACACGAACTACACACACCGCAGGGGAACATTTGGAAACCTGCGTGGCTCGTCTTCGAACCCTCTATGTTTGAACCTTCTTTGCCCCCCCTCCCAAGAATACCGAAACAGCAGCAGCGGTTGACCCCCGCGTGCCCCTCGATGGTGTCGCACCAGGAGTGCACCCTAGGCAACGGTGTTGGGGAAAACACTAACTTTGTCGGGGGATACATAGACTTGGAAAGGTACCACCCTGGTTTCCGGTACAAGTTGCCTCATTGACGACCCGTTTACCGCACTATATCTGGAACCGAACACAGGTGGGTTGCAATGAACACGAACGATATCATGAAAACACTTGACACTCCATGATCCAACAAACTGACACTTTCAAATCCCGTTCGACACAAAAAAAAATGAGGGGGGGGGGGATAGGGGGGACACCACATTGCGAAGGACATGCACTTTCCGTGCTGCCGATTTTCCAAGAGCAACGAACAAGCAGCATTCCCCACTGCAACAAACACCATCATCACGCAATAGGATCAATCCAAACAAGGTATCATATCCCATTCAAGTCCTGTCTAGCAGCCAACCTAAGCCAGAAACCAAGCTCCGGATCGGGGTAACCTTGGCATGTAGCTTCAACAGCTGGGGTCTACTTTCAAGGGCCGAGCAACTGTGGCCGCGGTAACCACACGCGGGGTGCCGCCACTAGAGTAACTTCACGAGGAAACAAAAGAAGGAAGCTTGACCCCAACTTCCCAACTTGGCGCTTGTCTTGTGGGGGTTGATCGGCGCGAAAATCTAAAGCCAAGTCTAGCCCGGAGGGTCATTTGCTCTCAAAATCCGTTTCACCAAGGCCTGAGCAGCTGAAGCCATGACACCCCGTGGTTCCCCTCTTTCCACGCCTTCAGGCAGCCGTTCGGGTTCTTCGTAATCGCCGATCGCCCCCAACTTGTCACCACCGCTCCGGTGTCTCCGTTCACGACAACAAGGGTGGGCAAGGCCTGAACGCCGAACGATTCCGCCGCGCGGTGTCTGTCGGATTCCGGCTCAAACGGCAGACGCACGAAGCCCTTGCCGGTGATGTAGTCGCGCATTGCCTGCTCGCTGCTCAAGGCGGCGGAGGAGCAGAGGGGGGGTGATGCGGGGAGGGGAGAAGGACACTCGAGAACCAGAGAGGGCGGGCAAGCTAGAACGCGAAACTACGTACCCGGAACAATGGCTAGGGACAGGGGGCAACGCAAGCTGCGTAGAGAGAGGACACATCTAATGCAGGGCAGAGAGTAGCTCAGGTGAGGGATCTCGGGGTTTCTTTGGGGAAGGGGGGGGGAGGTTAGGAAACGTCGTGGACGAAACATGTCCCAAGAATTGGACAATTTGTCGAGGACTGAAGACATCGGCTGGCCTCGCGCCCGAGAAACGCAGCCAAGGTTCAACCTACCTTTTATCCAAGGAAACGAAGACCACTTCGAATTCGTTCTTGTGCTCCTTCGCCCACTTGGAGAGCAGGGGCGAAAACGCGCGGCAAGGGGGGCACCACCCGGCCGACACGTAGACTCCGATCATCTGTGCGGGACCAATGGGGTGGGAGGTTGAGGCGGCGAACGGAAGGTCATGAAACACCTCCAGGCTATTTACGACAAAAAAGAAGGTCGCACTGACCTACCCATGAATTGATCTGCTTGAGGCCCGTTGCCTCAAAAAGATTACCAAGATATCACTTGGATTCAAAGTAAGGTCTGGATCCTGCTGGCTGAGAGATTGAAGGAGGACAGGTCCAAAAAAGACGGGCAGGGTACTTGCTGTTTTTCCGACCATCGGTTTACGCATCCCTTTCATGGAGTAAGGCTGGGGGCTTAGGGCGGGAGGAATCGCAAAAGAGGCAGCTGTTACTTGAGGCAAAAGGAGAAGGTGAACTTCATCGACGTGCGATTTGTACACAGCATTCCCGCCCTCGAAAGAACTCGTACGCCCACAAACACTTGGTTTTGTTGCACGAACGTTGAACCTGCCCAGCATAGCAGTGCTGCACGGCCATTCACCACATCACCATGCCCGTTCTCGTCTTCTCTCTCAACATCCGCCCTGAGTGTGTAAACCCTTCCAGTACGCGAGATGCACCCCGTGTAAAATGTAGTCTACAGCAGTACTGCTGTGTCGGCGAGATGATACCATGCACTGACAACAGCAGTAGTTGAGATGTTCTCTTGGCTGCCCATGAAGAGGTCACACATGTACTGTAGTCTACGCCGTTGTGATAAATCTTTGCTGCTTGTGCACAGACAGGTCGTCCACGGCTGCTGCAGAAAATCGATTGGCCTCCCTACAGCTGTTCCTTGTTTCCTTACCAACATTAGTCGACGAGCTCCACTCGCCGCAGACAAAAATTCCGAATATTTGGAGCGGGGCGCGGTGTGGAGGGCAAACACTTGGTACGTTTCAGCAGTTTGTTGCACGTGTACAGTAGTGCCGCCAGCTTTGGTAGGTTGCTATGTAGTTGTTCCGCTCCAACGAAGAAAACAAGCAGTGGAGCTCCCTCTTACCTTTCCCTTGAACACTGCAGCGGGAGACAGCTTGTGCCCAGCCTCGTCTTCGAGAACACTCAACGGCCGCAATGCCTTCGGGAGGGGGATGAGACTAGCCTCACCGGCGCTGCCAGTGTCACCCCGCGCAGGCATTCGGCAAACACCCTGTGGATCGCACACCGCGCCCACGGAGGGGTCGGTCGCCATTGTTTAGCTGTGGAAAATGAGAATCAACCCAAAGAGTACGAGGAAGAGAGGGAGAGCGGCAGAGCGGCAGAGCGGCACAGCAAGGATAGCGCAGCAGGCAGGCACGCGGGGGCGGTGTCTTTTTTTTTTTATGCGGAGGAATTTCGAAGATGAGCGTGAAACCATCGAAATAAGTCAGTACCCAGCCGGTTTTCCTACCCAGCTGGTTTTCCTCCACTCACTGAAAATACTAAAATACTCCACCACATCTCGTTCGACTGTGGGTATATCTCGAATGGGTAGTCTTTCTGTGTGTATATTTATTTTTCCTTAATATGTTGCGGTTCGTTTCAGGATTCGGGCTCGTGTCGGCGAATCAAATCGGTTGGGGTCTCGTCGCGTCCATACGTGTCAAATTTAGAGTCGTCCGTATTGCTGGTCGGGGTTTAAGATGACCATCGGTGTCCGCGCCCTCTGTACGTGTCAGCTTTCTGTCGTGGTCACCCTTTCTCAACCTCTGTACACCTCTCCGAGCAACAATCACCCATCACACGTTGTGAACGAAACAAGACGGTCACGTTTCAGAGACGACCTAGAACAAGGTAAGCAACACGCCCGTAGCGACAGCAGTGGGTGCGCCCTGTCGGGCTCAGCGTGGCTGTAAGTATCAAAGTGAAGAAGAAGAGCTGCTGTTGACACCGCATACTTCAATTAATTTTTGAACACACAATCACGCAGCGAGCACAGAGTCGTCCACCAAGGGCGCCCTGTTTTCCTGTTTTCCAATCGGATGCACAATATAAATAAAGAGGCCTGTATGATACGTGTGCGCCATGGTTTCCTCGTGAATTCCCTACGCCCCTTGCAGTTCGTGGTCTGAGTTGATGCAAGTGCTCGCCGTGCATGACGATTTTGTACCCCGTGCACAAGACACCACGGAACAGGGTGTATGCTGTAAGGGTGTGATATTCTGTTGAGGCTTTCATCATCTCTCGCGTGTCGTGGTTGCCGCGAAAAGGTCGCGGTGCGTGCTGCTGCTGTGGTGGTTTGACGGGGACGTCTGGAGCGCTAACTTGCGATTCTACCTCTATATATACTTCGTCTTGGCTGGTTCATGGTGGCTTGGGGGAGAACCGCCGTCCTGGGTAAGAGCGAGACCGCGACACGCAGCTGGCTAACAGGCCAGTGCTTCCCAGGGTTTCTAAAGAAACGAGGTTCGCTTCAACAAACATGAAGAAGGTGCGCTCCTCTCTGTAGCTACGTACCTCGTGAAGTTATTTTTGTTCCGGCCGACGTTTCTGGACCTTGGCAATGAGGACTTGAATATCTACGAACGATGGCTAACGGGAACATAACATTCAGCAAGAGAAGGGCCAAAAGGCAGAAATAGTTCATGCATGACACACCAGAAACAAATATGGAGGTTTTAGTAGCACATGGCGGCACGGTACCACAGCCATGAGTGATACTTAATACAGCGGTAGCGGCTACGGTTTAAAGGCTGGTAGACTCTTCAAATCCGTACCTTCTCTTGAGCAATCTCTCTTAAACCTTACCGGGAACCGAATGGGAAAATGCACGGCCACAAATGAGGACCATCCTACCCCGAGACGAGACTCAAAGGTGGGAATGCAAGATCGAGCTCCGTCAATGCTCTCCTCGCCATTCCCTTCTAAGGGCGGCCCTTCGTCCTCCTTGTACACCTCTGCGGTTGTTGTCGTGAATGGATGACTCGTTGAACGAATCCCGATCAACAAGGTGCAGCACGAGGGGCGCGCCGATGCACGGACAAGAACAAGGGCAGCCGCCAAATCGGACACGATGGGAAACGTACCGAACACAAGTGTGAGAAAGGAATCAAAAGAACAAAGGACGAGGGGAGCAAATAGCCTAAGGAGGAGTACAAGAAACGCGGACAAAGGTAAATCTAGGGGCTCCACGATATCGTCCACTTCTCGGCGGACTGCGAGACGACCACACGCCCACGTTCTCCACGTACGGGGTGGGTGGGTGGTTGAAGACATCAATCTTGCCCCTCCCTCTCAAACGAACACATGGCCCAAGCGACACAGCATGTGGTAGGGTAGACCCGCCTGGTTCGAATACAAGAAACGGACCCGCAATGGTCCATGTGCGGACTTACTATCTGAAAGTGACCCGAGGAAGTGCGCCTTTAGAACCCTGTTGCTCCTCACAATATAGCTGAAGACTGGCTAGATTTCATCCTGCTTTTTGGGTTGACGTGTGGTGGAAGACCTTGGACTACATCGCTTTGAGCCAGTCTGGCTGAACGTAAGCGTCGCCCCAGCTGAGCGTATATGTTGTACTGCGCATTGCTTGACTTGAACTGTTTGACGATGTCGTCGTGATCGTGCCGGAGCAGCAGTCTCCCGTGGAGAGGAAAAGCAGAAGGACATACGACCAGCTTGGTCTTCTCCAGCGCTCCTTGAGGAAGGCGTTGCTAGCGAAACCTGCACCGGTAGCGTTACAGGACGACCGTCGCCATCGCCTTCCGGCGTCGTACCGGCGTCGTCGCCACCGCCGCCGCCACCTTCGTCAGGCGAGACTGCTGCAAGCACAAGTAGTGCCCTGTCTGAGGACGGCCAACACGAGCAAGAGCAGTGGCGGGTCAAAGCCGTGGACGAGGCTCCGTCGCCAGAGAAAAATGAGGACGAAGCAGCAGCAGCAGCACCGATAGCAACTGAGCTCACGACGACCCCACCCGTGCTTCTGGCAGATGCGTCGGGGACACACGACGACGTCGGACCGACCCCTGACAGCAGCAGCAAGGGCAACGACAAAGACAACGACCACAACGAAGAAGAAGAAGAAGAAGAAGAAGAAAAAGAAAAAGAACTGCCATTGGAGAGCAGCAACAACGACGGCCGTTCCTCCCTGAGAACCCCGGAGCTGGCGGAGGGTCGCGCAACGACGCCAGAGAGTGTAAGAGGAATGAGGGAGACGGAGGGGTTCTGTGGCGTTGCAGAAAAGTAAGGCAGGTCGGGAGGGGAGCGCGCGGGGGGGGGGGCTCATTTACCTCGAACCCTTCGGAAATATCATCATTGAAAACATGCCTCGCGGGTGATCCCGCCGGCGGAAGGGGTGGTTCTGCAACTTCCCTCTCCGATTGTCAGGAGATTCATTAATCGTATTCAGCTTTGGTACCGTGGCTACTCCCCACCACCCATCCCCCTTTCGAAGATTGGGGGCGGATAATGGTTTTGCGTTGGGGGGGCGGGAAGACCACCGTTGTGTACAAAGCTACCCAACGTCGCGCGGGAGAAGCAGCCTTCACCGGGTCGTAGTTTCAACAAACGTACGTTTGTTGAATCACCGCAGAGTACTCGCGATTCATCTCAACTCCACACCCTTAACGCCCAGAGCAAAACAAAAACGCTCAAGGGGTCAGGAGACGAAGCCGCCACTCAACTAGTACCTGAGTCAGATGCCTGTGTAAGGCAGGATGTCTAACGGTTCCGACATCATCAGATATGTCTGAACACTCTACATTAGCTTATTGCCTACCTGTACCGGTTCTCTCAAATGGACAGGCGATGCGGGGCTCCGCCCCGTCTCCAGGCACGCCACCGCAGCAGCAGCCGTCCCCGCCAAAATGCCTTCGAAGCCACGATCGCGACTTCGGGGCCGGCAGCCCGCCAAACGATCCTTCTCAAGGGGCGGAATATCCGCTTGAGGGTGGTGCCGGCGCCGCCATTCAAGCCGAGGATACCCTTCGGCGTCGAGCGACCCGCGGTCACGGAGCTTCCAGCAGCTTCGATGCAACTAGCGCCCGTTCAAGCAGTCCGGTACAAGGGCAGAGCAGCAGCAGTCCGATGTGTGTTGCGGCGCCCACGCCCCCTCGTACACTCAGTCCAAGTACTGAAGGACGGGCGTCCGCCGCGCAAGCGTTTCAGCGCCACGAGGGGTCTCCGAGCTTCGACGCCAACGCGGACAAGCCGCTTAAGGTACCGCTACATACGTAGTTGTCCTGCATTGGCTAAGAACCGTCAAGAACGAAAAAAGCTGTGCAGGCCTATTTTGGAGTCCCGAACGACGCCTTGGTACTTTGCTCGGTCTAACTGTCTCTTCTCGACGGCTTTTGCTTGATGATCCTCGCGTACCGTGAATGCCGTAACCCTCCCACTCACTCCTCCTGCAAACATTGCAGGGGCCGGTGGCAGAGGGACACGGGCAACAACGGCACTCCCGGCAGAGTAGCATCTCCGACTGGCTACAGACGCCCCAGCCGGCGGGCGGCGGGCCGGTCGTGCCTCGCATGGGGTCCAGCGCGTCGGGCGGGGGGCGAGGTTTCCATACACCCGACCCGCACCGGACGGCGGCCATGCCAAGCGGCGGTGACAGCGATGAGGGGGTTGCGACCCCCCTGTTTCAGCTGAGGGCGATAGCGGAGAGGCGCCAGCAAGACGCCCAGGTCCCGCGGCAGCTGCATCCTCATTCGCGCGAGAAGGTTAGGGACATGGTGCTGTGCACGCTCCGAGCGCTCGCCGACGGCAAAGGCGACCACGGGCGAGACGGCGCCAACAGAAGCGACAGCAGCAGCAGCGGCGGTGGCGGGGGAGACGCCGCGGCACGCGATTGGAGGATGGCCACTCCTCCGCCTCGTCAAGCTCTGGGGCCACAGAGAACGTTGGGCCAAGATGGTGCCCCCCCCTCCACCAACGCGAGCGTGCAGCCGAACGCCAAGAAGGCGAAAAAGGACAGAAAACCTTACCGTTGCAAGTGAGCCCGCCCCGCCCCCCGCCTACGGCACGAAAATTACGGCAGTTTTGTCCGTCTGATTTCCCCCCTTTCATAGCCTCGCGCCGGCCCAGGTGTGGGGGAGATCACGGCTGCCTTCTCCAGGGGTGATGTGATGTCACGTGATGTATTGAGTGCGACACGATCGGTTGATTGTCAAGGTTGCAACTTGCCTGCAGCTTGTCGTTTTTATGTATCCGCCTGCACACTAAATTTCGTTCTTTGATAGACGCACATTACAGTTTAGTAGCAGTAAACAAGCCCCCCTCCACCCACCCACCCACCCCTTCCCAACATCTTGTGTCGACCCAGGGCTTGCGGCCAGCTGAAGTACAAACACGAGTGCCCGTTGAAGCTCGTCTACTCCCAAGTCGACATCTGCACGACGGGGTCCCAGACTGACCCCCTTCCTCCGGGCACGGTCTTCGAAGCTCCCGACATGCCGGTGCCGTCGGAGAACGGCGACAACGTCCTCTGGTGCGGGCCGTACCACCCGGTGCTCAACAACCACGACGAAGAAACGGGACGTTCTTGGCACGTAGCGGGGATGACCGGGGTGTCTGCGGCGGGGTCGCCCAACACGGGTATGGCAGGCGCGGGGTGTTCTGTGGCACCGACATCAGCGGCGGGAGCCTACGATTCGACCGCTTGGAGCGGTGAGCGCCGATGGCGTCATCCTGATCATTTCTTTTTCGCGAGCTCTCCCTCACGCTCGCCCGTCGCAAATATGGCCGCAATAGCCATGGACATGAAGCCGAGCGTCCACACAGGAAACGCCGTCGGCGTGGCGCCTCCAGTCAGGCGAGACGGTCTTCACCCTCACTTCGGAGGGTTCAGCAGCGATCGGGGTATCGGTGGTGGTAGTGGCGGGGCGGCAGCAGCAGCAGCAGCAGCAGCTGCTGCAGCAAGGCAGGGGCAGTTTTGGCAAGCACATGGCAGTGATGGTAGTGGCAGAAGGGCTCGTCCAATGGGGTTCCCGGAACCTGTGACGCCTTGGTCCACCAAATGGACGGACGGCATGCCGGAGGGCTGGAGAACTAGGACCTCAGGGACGGCGGGGGCGGGATGGCCGTCGTCCCCTGGGCTCGCTAAGCCTCCGCACGGTGGAGAATACCGACAAAGCAACGCGGGAGAACGCCAAGGAGCAGGAAGAGATGATCTGGACAACTCTTTCAGCGATCACTTTTCGCCAAACCGCGTTGCTGCTGCCGGACCACCGCCGACGTGCATGACGATCATGTCGATGCCAACGCCGAGCCCCGAGATCATGCGCTGGAGGGAGAGCAGCAGCAGCAGCTGCAGCAGCGACAAACACAACAAGAACGCCTTGCCGGCGAGCGTGGTCATGCCCCCAGCGATACAGGATCTCGAGGAAAAGTTCTACTCCGACCGGTTCACGACCTTGTCGGCGGGACCCCCGGCCATGTCGGCGGGACCCCCGGCCATGTCGGTGGGACCCCCGGCCATATCGGTGGGACCCCCGGCCGTGTCGGCGGGACCCCCACTACATCATCATAGCCAGGAACTCAGGGAAACGGAAGCGAGGGTGATGGGGGCACGGGGAGGGGGCAAGGCAACACCACCACCGTCGGCTTCCGACGTGGACGACAACATCAACACCGACGGCAGCGGCGCCACAACGGTTGCAAAGTCCCCTTCCTTGCCCTCACGAACGGAAGCTCCCGGTGGGTCTGTGCATCGATCGTTAAAGTCTGTCGGGGAGGAAGGAGAATCTGGCCAAGGAGAACGGGGTGTCAGCGAGTGATTGATGCTTATGGCATTGGTGCCCCGGACAAAGTGTCGGTGGTGGGGGACCGATTCCCTTTGGAAGGAGGGGGGGGGGGTGATGGATCGGGCGGCGGAAGGTTGTGTTGAAGATGCGTGCTTAAAGCGGTATGGAATTGGTATGGTGCGAGGAGCGTGTTCCGGGGGGCATGAATTAATTTCAGTTGGTAACGGTAGCGGGCGTGGGTGTCACATGCATGATCAAAGGCGGGCAAGCGATAAGTGCTGCCGGTGGTTTAGGGGCACAGCAACGTAGGAGGACGGGATGGAGGGGCTACTAGCCCAAATTCGGGCTTTCTGGAGCGGTGAACACGGAAAGAAGGAGCTAGTCTAAGGCAGACAAAGGAATGGAAACCGTGATGTGCTTGGATATGATAAGGAGGGGAAGAGCGAAAACGATAACATTCCTGCACGATGCTGCTGATGTATGCATATGAGTTGGTCATGGACAAGAAGAAAATTGGCGATCTGTATGTAGGTAATTGTGACATTTGGCATACACTTGTTCCGCGTGCCACCGTCTCAAGACTGTGTTGATGTTGTTGTCCTCACAGAGTGCCGCATATATATATTTTTTTTTTTTCGATTTTGCTCTTCGGTCCATGACAACAATTCACGGTGGTTGGCACGTTGTGTGGCATATAATGGTTGCATGTACGGTGGGTTTGGCCTTTACTCTGAGGTGCTTCGTCGAGTGTAGATTATTTGCGTACGAACGGGCTGGGCGTGGACATAAGTAAGTGCCAAACAAAGTCTAACGGATTGGACGGCTGTTTGGCGGACGGGCATGTTTAGGAGGGAATATTGAGTGGAAATTGGGCAGCCGACGAATTGAAAATGGGGGTCACATTTCCAGGTTAAATTACCCTCAAAGGTAGGTATAAATTTTACAATACCCGGAGAAGATGTGCGATTTCATTATTACACTGAGGAGAGGCATAATTACGGGCTAGCATAGGAGTAGGAAGGTGCAGATAAGACGGTAGCGAATGGTATTTTGAAGGTATGTTGGCTTGGGGCGGGGAGGGGGGGGCGAGACGAAATATGAATCATTTTCGCTGTAAACTACACGAAGTACTTGAGACCAAAACCCGAACACTTGTCATGAACGGTGTGTAGCACTTGTTACGCACGGTGTGCGCTTCATCACCCTCAACTTCTGAGGAGACAACAAGACGGGCTTCAGCCCCCGGGCGCGGCTACTCCCGGCCTGTTAGAAACTATGTACGCGAAGAACTTGACCAAATGAGACCTCATGTACCCTAGCACCGGTGGACAACCTACGTCCATGACGACTGGTACATTGAAAACGCTGTGATTTTCTCAACACAAACTTCGACCAGTTTCGTCATTCTCGAAACGAGATTAACAGTACGTGGGGTGGGCGGGGTGAAGGGTGGTGGGCGATGCTCGTTGGCCATGAGAAAAGTACGGTTTTCGGCTGGGGAGGGGAGAGGGGTCGGGGTTAGAGAGGGTCGCTTAATTAACTGTCAGCAGCGTTGTTGTTGTATGCCTCCAGCATTTCTTTACCTAGTTTTGTGCGCGCAATCCCCGATAGTGCGTGAAACGGTTTAAATTGTTGGTCATTTGGACATTACCAGCAGCAACTCGTAAATGAAGTGCTACACGGTTCCCATACTAGTACCACCGCGGTTTTTCTAGGACAACGTATAGGGTTGTTTGACCGATGATGGTGTCGAGAAGGCGGGGAGATGAAGGGGATACTCCCACCAATGCGCTCACGCAGTGAACGGCAGAGCGGCGTAGGTGACTACAGTAGTAGTAGATGCCGAACTTGTTCTGGCATCAACGCTTTGAAGAAATAAAGACAACACAAAAGGAACATGTGAACGATAATGTTCAACGGAACAACCATCGCAGAAAGCCTGCCAGATCGGAGAGGTCAATCAACGAACTGCAGTAAGTGGCAGCACAGCATCCTTTGCTTTGCAGCAATCCCTTAGGTCAAATGAGGACACGTTTGTGGCTACCTACGGTGCCCACCGGTCAACAAGGTAACTTGGTCACTGGTGTGCGGCGATGTCGCTGCTCCGTTGTCTAGAGACCCACCACCTTCATGTGCAACGTTTCTTGTGACGCAGCTGCTGTGGCTTGGGGGCGTGTCTCGAAAAGACAAAACTTTTGGGGTGTTTCATGGTGCCGGAAGGTGCGTAGAAGATTCGCGAAAGGTAAGCTCTGCTCCCGGAGAACTTTTCGTCCCACATTGGAGGCGATCTTTCCTACGACAAAGGTACGCACGCATGTTTTGATCTGATCATTCATCGACCACGAAGCTCATCATCTTCACCTACCCTGAACCAACCCATAACATATCGGAACGCGGTATAACAGTACCGTGCCCCGTCCCACAACACAACTGGCACCACACCACAACACAATACAACACAAAGAGCCTGGAGTGAGTTGAGTGTCAGAATCCTCACCAATATAATATCCAAACGAAGGGCTGAACGTCAAATCGATTGCTAGGTTTAACGCTTCGAATCCCTCAACCAGGTCAGTAAGGGCGAACACTGAATCGACGACGCGACAGACCGAAGCTAAGTTACACCTGCAAGGCCGCAGCCATTTAGACAACAACACAAAAACAAACACACACAGCCCTATTCAGGACATCAGAGACGCGAGCAGACCGATTCGATTCCGCTACCAACCAGAACCGGCCAACTCCGAGAGAAACAAGACGGCCGAGAAACCTAACTCAGTAACCGAACCGCAAGATGATACGAAGCAAGCCAACCAACCAATTAAGAGGAAGGAGACCACCTATACAGGGCTAACAAAGTCGGCCAATCGGGCAGGGCCGGTGGAACAACAACCAACGCGAGTATCACGATGGATTGGTCGAATCTGGCCAGTTCAGGCGCCCATTTTGCTCAGCCGGCCTTGAAACCAGATACGCACCATCCAACCAGCAGACGTGGACAACGCAAAAACCAAACAACCACCAGATAAATGCCTTTCCACATAGAACACCCGATCCGAATCCACCTTACACACAAAACCAAGAGCAACCAACCGCCAGATAACCTCCCCCCGGTTGATTCGACAACAATCAGACGATGCCAACTTCCTCGTCTTCAATCTCTGCGATAGCCTCCATGCCCCCCAGCGAGCTCGTCCCAGAGCCGACGCGTTTCCGGAGAGGAGCCATCGAATCCGGAGAGATGAACGACAACGGCAAGGGTGGTTTTCCTGGGTGTGCAGACCCGTCGACCCCGCTCCCTCGCCGTGAAGGCGTCTGCTGAAGAAAGAAAGAAAGAAAGAAAAATGTAGAGCAGATAGACCGTCATCGTCGTGTGTAGTGTGCGCAACAAGCGAAGGGGACGTTGGTACAACGGGGAGAGATTGAGATGGGAACTTGCACTTGTTCCGAGGAGAAAAATCCAGACAATAAGTCTTATGGGGCGAGAGCGTTGGGATGTCGTTTGTGTTACGCTCACCCATAGTATACGTGGCGATCCAATCACACTTGTTTCATCAATGCAACGACAACAGAAAAGAAAAAAAACGATCCGCCGAAAAAACAAATAAAAAACGTGGTGTAACCTGCTACCGTTACAGGCGGGGAGAGCGCGTTCAGTCCAGCCCCCCCCCGCGGTCTCATCCCAAGGTATCACTAGAGCTCTTACCACCTCCTCCCCTCTTTTTCTTCGCTACTGTATCCGCAACGTGTTCGAGGGGTGCCTACCTGCAATCCGCCGCATTCACGTACCCCCCGTGCGACAAGCTCCCACATAGCCCCGACCCCCCCCCTACACATACCGCCTACGTACTGGTACACACACGAAGTGCACCGCACACACACAACACAAAGTGTAACGCAGACCCACGTCAATGTGATGGTGTTTTGCGTTAGGCTCCATGGACGGGCCAACACACGTCTAAGCTTACCCTTCCCGGGGACGGGCTGCGGTCCCTGCTTGGTGTCTGCATCTCATCGTAGAGCCTGGCGTTGGCCATTTGCAGGTCCATCTGCATGCTGTCCACCAACGCGCGCAGGCTGCGCGAACGCACGCACACACACACACACAGCCACAGAAAGCGCCAAACCAAACGTGAGTAGAAGCGGAAAATATCAAGTTAAAGGCGTTAATTTGCGGAACGAAGAGTTGGAAATGCGCGAAACCAAAAAAGCTTCTTAGAAATGAGGAATATCCGGAAGATTCGCAGCTCTTGAAGGTCAAGTTGGAGACACCTTGACGCCACCACGAGACTAGTCGAGGGAACACCGTGGCGATTGCCTGCGCACCACACCTTAACGATCGCTGTTAGAGGTGAGAGGTGGCATGTCTGCAAGCTACCTGACCAAGTGCGAGAGACGGCGCGCACCTGAAGTACTTGCGGCGCCAACACAGCCACAACCGCAAACAATTCCGTGGGCTCCGATTTACATTTTGTTTTTTTGTCTTCACTTCAAATCAGCGCTCACAGCACTAGTGCCGTTTACTCCAACCCGTGGCCACACAGAAGGGCCCTTCTCTACCCTCCCCTCCTGCGGTACTTTGCCTTCGATTTTTAATGCGAGAAGAGTTCAGCACTCTCTTCCCTCTGTGTACACACGAAGTAGCGCTATCCACTAATAGGCCAGGAGCGGAAGCGAGAGAAAATATCACTTTGCAAGAAAAGCTCGCTTACGCCGGGATTCGAACCCCTGGCCTGACCTCTAGAAGGTTTCGAGGATACCAACTAGACCACCGGGGCGACATATGCATGTACCACAAGCACCCGGGAATGTAGCACACACCTCCGAGATTCGTTGTCACACCTACAAACGGCCGCCTTGCTTGCGCGTGCAGGCCCACTTTCGCTTCTCGCAAAAAAAAAAAGCCAACAATACATCAAGCCCGTGCTAGCAGTTAAACGTCTTCTACGCTTTCATCGTAAACGCGGCGGGTTCCCCGTGTGGGCCGTTCCCGGACTCCGGGGGGGGGGGGGGGGGGGGGGGGGGGGGGAAAAAGGTTTGGAAAAGGGGGGTTTAGGGGGGGTTGGGTTTTGGGGGGGGAAAAGGGGGGGGAAAGGGAAAAAAAAAAGGGGAAAAAGGGGCAAAAAAAAAAAAGGGGGGGGGGGAGGGGGAAAAAGGAAAGGCCCCGGGGGGGGCAGAAAAAAAAGCCCCAGAAACCGAAGAAGGGGCAAAAATAACCGGGGTTTGTTTTTCAAAAAGGGTTTAAAAAAAGGGCCCAAGGTTGGTGGCCCCTTTGCCCCCCCCCCCCGGAAATTGGGGAAAAGGGGAAAAGGTTTCGGGCCCCGCGGGGTTTTTTTTGGGGGGGGCGGCTCTTTTTCCCCCAAAGAAAGGTTTCAAAAAAAAAAACCCCCCCCCCCCCCCCCTAATATTTTTTTTTTTTTCCCCATTGTTTTTGTCCCGGGGGGGGGGCAGGACCCGGACTTCCAATAAAACGGTCCGCGGGAAATTCTCCCCCCCACCCTTGGGGGAAGAATTGGGAAGAAAAAAAAACAAAAAGAGGAGAGAGGGCGGGGCACCCCCCCCGCCAGCTCGGCCCCGCCCCTCCCTCTTTAGGACGCGTGGTCAACGGTGTAGCAATTATGGCGTGCAAAACATGAATA